CATATCATTCATTATTAATGAATAAATGTATTAGTTTAACTGATAAACAAACAGATACATACCTTCCATCAATCAAATCGATGAAGATGTTAAAAGAAGAAAATCTATCTTCAAAATCTGTCATCATCATCATCGGTTTGAGAATATGAATTTTGATTTTAACTAGAAATAGCACACATGAGTAAGTTTTCAAGGAATTTGATCAAATATTGTTGAATTCGGGTTGTTTCTCTAATTTGTTACAACATTACAAAGCAGCATAACATTTCCAAGAATTAAATCGTCCTGTCATGAACAGTTTTATCACTGCTAAGTAGTATTCCATTTATTTTATTGTAGGATAATTAATCTACTGATAACGTGGACAATCTTACTTGCTTACGACAATCTTTTTGTTTCATCAAAGTGTTAGATTTCTCTTAATATCTTTTCTTCCCTTCATTTTTAAATTTATGGAATTAATGGTTTATTCAAGAAATGAAGATACTACTAAGTTGTAGTAATAAATATATGTTTGTTTCGTATGGCCAGAAGTTTTACAGACAAGCACTAGCCATACCAATGGCCATACCAATGGATACAAATAGTTCTTTTGATAAAATAATTTCAAATGGAAAGATTTCCAAATTTTTGAATGCTTAAGTTAAATACTTCTTACCTCTTTGTTAAATAATTTTTCAACCACAAAAAGAAAAAATAAAATCTCAATTTCAAACAGGAATGAAATGAAATTTTATGGCATGTAAGATATATTATTTTTCATTTTTAAATTAAATATTGAAATTTGCATGCTTATTGTGATACATAAAGAATAGAAGGGATTTTATCATCATTTCCTAGAACAAATGTTGCATTCCTTATCTTGCTACGGTTTGTTGGACTGGTTTTAAATCCATCAGTTCGAGAATTACTTCTAGGGCGAAAAAAAAAGTGATCTTACTTTTAGATTAGATTAGTAGTTCTTTGAACAAATAGCTATCTATTATCATCTGAGCAAAGTTGTCATTTTAAAGTTTGATTTTTCAGGTGCTGCGGTTCGTGTAGAAGGATGCGATGGTTACATGTTTACCGGTACAACACCAAAACAACAATGTGCAGAATACAATAGTTATGTGAATTCAACGGGAGAATGTGCAGAACCGATATTAGGCGCAGATTTTGAATCTGTTGGTTATGAAGTAAGCAGTTAACAGTAAACATAATAATTAGGCGCATTTATAGTTTTTCAGAACAATAATGCATTCAGAAATTGGTGAATGCTAAATTGGGAAGAAAAAACAGTCTAACAAGAGCTAATATAATTTTTCCTCTCTCAATCAATGATATTGTAAAATCAGGCGGTCAATTTAGAGGATTAGTGATTAAATGGTTATCAACTTGTTACCAATACGCATTGACCATTTCCGATATTTCGGATTTCTCTTCCATTTTACGCAATTAATGTTTGAATATTTTCAGTTCCATTATATGTGCGATTCGGCAACCAAGGTTAAAATGAGTATATCATTGCAAATGATTGGGATTATGTTTGGTGCGATGACATTTGGACAGCTATCTGATATGTTTGGTCGAAGAGCGGTGAGTTATTCTGAGTTTCATATTAAAATCATTCAATCCATCTCTATGATACCAGCGATCTATATTTGGGCGAAATAATTTTTTACGACTGGTTGGCATTCAAAATTATTTATTGGCGAATCATATCCTGAGGTACAGTTATGTTCACAAACAAGAGATGTATTATGCTATTTGAATACTGGATAGTCGTAATAATTTAAATATTAATTCTTGTTTTTTCCAATGTAATCCATTGTTGCATTGCTATACTAGAAATTCACTTACAACTAAGAGAAGAGTTTTTTGAGAAGCAAAAGGGACTATTTCTCTACGGAAGAATGTATAGGAAATGGTTACCTTTTTTGATAATATTTCCGATGCATTTATAGTTCAGATTCACACATTCTAATACTCATGCTTTTTCAAAACCGATCTTGACAAATTAATGTGCGATATTTCGGTAGAAATTATCGGAAACAGGTTGTTTAGCTAATTTACAGTTTATCCTTTTCCATGGAGGAAATAACTTAAATAAATTAGAACAAATTAATTATTGTATGCCAATTTCCAGATTCTATTATTCGGAACGATTGGCTTAATTATTAGCGGTTTGGCATCAACATTCGTAAACAATTTGGTTGCATTTACAGTTGCACGATTTTTCGTGATGTTTTTCACAGGCGGAAAACATAGGTTAGTTACTGATATATTGAGTGAATCCAACGCTATATGAAATGCAGTTATAGTACGGAGTTTTTATAGCCATCGGTCAAAATGGCATACCAAATGACCTTAACCGGTAATGATTAGCTTAAATTAATTGACAGAACCTTCAGGTTAAATGTATATATTCAATCATATTTCGATATTGTTGTCACAGTATTTCTATTGTTGAAATGTCCAAATCGAAGGTCATGAAAAATTTGTTGAATAATTAATTAGAAATGGAGAAGGAAAATAAAGATATCAATGAGGTGAAGTAGTATCGGATAATTTTCAGTAAACATTACGAAAGTTATGCATCCTGAAATGAATATAAATAAATAAAAATATACAGAAGGTGTAATTTTAGATCTGAAACAACTACAAAAGATTATTTTTTGCAGCGTTTCTTATGTTTTCATGATGGAAAATTTGCCAGCCAAACATCGTATGTGGATGGTTACCGTTATCACCTATTCCCCTAATTACATTGTCTTTACCGGTTTAGCTTACTTAGCCGGTGAATGGCGTTTGCTGTCACGAATAGTCGCTCTCTTAACAATTCTTCCGGGCATTCTGTTAATGTAAGTTTATTAAGATCTTTAAAAAATCAAGGTTTCAATTTTCACTAGATATATCCTTTTGCTCCTGATGAACGAATAATAAGCATGATTTCTGAAATTATTCGGGTTTAATTACAGTTCTTTCATATTATCATTTATCTGCCCATTTTTCTTATTACTGTCACTTATTTTTACTGGTTATTATTCTTAGTAATTATTAATTGCTATTAGTGATCAATTTTTGACTGTTAGTTGTTAGTTGTTAATTGTTATTATTTCTCTTATTAATTATTATTATTATTGTTGTTATCAGTGATTTTTTATCATTCTTAACTCTCTAATTCTTTAGATTTGCATTTGAAAGCCCAAGATGGTTGATCCAGAAGGGGAAAATCGATGATGCTCGTCAGGCGCTTGTTGGTATGGGTAGATGGAATAATAAGAACACCCCGGAACGCCTTCAAGACTTGGATCTCTTGCTGGATAAAGAACGTGAACGTCTTAGAGAGGTATGAATTGGCTTTTTTCTTTTTAATATTTCAAATGATCTTGTCGAAAAAAGTTGAAAAGTACAATTTTACGGGAAAAATTTCAAAAAAATCGAAAGTTTATTAAATTTTAGGCAGCTGGAAAACCGAAAACGAATTACACGTATTGTCATCTTTTCTCAAGCAAAAATTTTGCTTCATATAGTATCCTTTTCGCTTATAGCTTGTACGTTTTATCACCATTTTTCTTTTTAAATTTCAAGCGCAGAAATGTGTAGTAAGATATTTTACGTAAAGAAAGCAATGTAATTGCAATATTTGTACATTGAAAGTTTTTTTTCCTGTCCCTTAATTTTGGTAACTAATTTTCATTTCATTAGTGTTGATCTTCATAATTGTCGGTAAAAATCTAATCAGTAAATAAGCTAAATGATGGTTGGCATCGTGTATCTGTTTTGATCGATTAATTTAATTCTGATTTTTCTAATTCATTTTGTTACTCCTTCAATTTTAACGTATCCAATATGTGTAGTAACAGGAAATGAATTCAAAAAATATGGAAGTGCTCCTGATTCATCATTTGATAAATTCAAGAAAATATGAAAATATCCAAAACCTATCCTTTTCCTTAATAGATTCGATTTTTAGGATGATTACAAGCATTATCTCTTACGGATTGGTCTTTAATATGGAAAAACTTTCGGGTTCTATCTATCTGAACACGATCATTGTTGGCTCGTTGCGTTATGCGATCAATCTGGTTTGCGCCATCATCGACATCAAATTCATTTGGGCTGGTCGACGTCTTCTACATGGATTCTCGATGTTTTTTATCGCTATCAGTCTTGGCTTAGTATTTCTTATCGTTTTGTTCGGTATGGCTGTTACTTTATAATTTATGATGATATATTTTAGTAACAAATACTGATTGTCTTATGCTTTCACTAAAGTATAATGTTCTGTAAATAAATGATAGTTTTTGTAAATAATAAGTAATAGCTTTTCATACTTACAAATGATATTCATCTTACTGACTAATGAGTAATTCTTCATAGGAAGCTTTTCTAATACAAATCGGAAGAATGTTATCTATAAAAGAAATTTTAGGTTTCAATTTGCAAACAATTATCCGTATTACGGCTTTGTCAGCAGCAGCAATGTGTAGTCAAATTTACATCCTAAATGCGGTTACACCATCGGAACTCTTTCCAACAGCCATACGTAATAAGGAAATTGGTTTTATCCAAACATTTAATCGTATTGGCAACATCATTGCACCACAGATCTTTGTTATTGTACGTTTAATTTTTATTTTTAAAAATTTTAAATTCTTGAAATGTCGACCCTCAGTTTATCATTTTTTTTCTTAAAAAGACTACAGTTTTGAGTAAATGTGGTACAATAATGATAGGAAGTAATAATGGAAGCTTGGTTAATTACCTCGAAGAAAAAGAATATTATGTTGAACTGACAAAGTAATACAATAGCTTATTTAATGACATTATTTTAGATCACTGATAATCAGACTAGCGTTTTCAGGGTGAATTCTGGGCTCCACTTCCGTATCTTACGATGTGTCTTTTTGCCTTGGTTGAAGTAATTGCATTCCTGTGGATCGTTCCCGAAACCAAAGGAAAACCAATGCCCGATCGAATGCCTGGAGATGAGTATACTTCCGATAGAGCTGCTAAGCCTCTGATTAAGATCAATAAAAATAACGATGAACGTATGCCGCTGAATGAAATCACAAAGTGAAAATATTCCGAATTTGGTTTTATCTTACCCTGATTTTTTTTTTCAAAAATAAAGAAAAATGACTTAAGGCTTATCCTTCTTCTAGTTTGGAATTTTCAAGTGCAAAAAAGAAAAAAAAATCCTTTAAATTTCCTTCGGATGACAGAGTGAACTATAAAGAAAGAGAAACTGAAGTATTTTTCCTTATGAATATTCAACAGTATTTTTTGTTACTGCAACTCCACAAATCCATGTACTATTTTGTTATTTGTTTCTATACATGTTTTCCAGAACTAATCTGAAGTGATGGTTTTCACGTAAATAATCTTACCAATCCTATCCATTATTTACTATGAAATTGGCTTTTGATACAACATACCTGCATTCTTGCATTTTAAAATCTCTTATTATTTGTTTTCTTTTTTCGTTGTGGTGAATCAAGTGCTGTATGTATGGAAGGTAATGTGTTCATTTCAGCTTTTTTTTTTTCGAAAATTTTATTATCTCTCAGAATTGTCTGTCATCTCTTTACAATCTCTCTCTAATATTAAGTTATGAAAAAAAAAAAAGCACGAATTTGTACAAATTAGGAAAAGATTTATTTTAAATATTCTATCTTTTTCACGAATGTTGTAATTTTTCGAAAATTAAAAAAAAGGAAATGAAAAAAAAATCATTTATTTGTGGAATAACACAAATGCAACATTCTTTTTAGTTCCGTCAACTATCATTTTAATGATTAATATGTTAAGTTGGTCATTTCTTCTTTTTTTTCCCATGTTTGATTATTTCTAACATCATCAATGACAAAGGTATTCTATGTTTTTCTTCAGTGTATATCTTTTTCTACTTTTTTTCTTTCTCTTTTACTCTTTATTATATTTTATTATCAATTCAAGAAATTTATTTATTGTCGTTATTTTTTCTTTCTGTTTCAATTTCAGAATTAATACAGATTTTTTTGTTTAGACAAATAAATCTTACTTACATGACGTATTAAAGAGTATTACTTTAATGTTGATATCTTATCTAATTTTGCATCGAAAAAATTGAATTTTATTTTCAATCTTTTTTAGAATAATTGCTAAACTTAGCTTTTTTTTTCCAAAGAAAAAACAGTAAGAATTTCGACGCATTCGGAATTTTTTTTGTGCAATTAGTGGGAAGTTCAAAGGGCGATATGTTATGTAGATTTGGAAATATATAAATATTTAATTTCCTCATTAATAAATTTCAATTGACTACCAAAAAATTCCTTGATTTATTCTTTTCTCTCAAGTTCCTACTCTTCTCTATATAGCAGTTATATGACTGTATTATGTAAGCGTGCTTCATTAGCTGATATTTTCACTGATTACTAGCTATCATTTTATTTATTTATTTATAAAATGAAATGAATCATGTGTGACTAGTCATTTGATTATAGTAACAGCAATAATGATTGTAACACATGATGATGATGATCCTAATGATAGCGGTGATAATGATAACGGCAACTGCAGTAGCAATTCCAAATCGTTGTTGTCGGTTCGATCACCTTAGTAATGATTTTTTTTAAGCATCAAATTATTATTTGGAAAAATGGCAAAACTTTTCCGCCGTTTTGCTGTATAGGAATAGTTCCGAGTAAGTGTGGTGATGTTACGTGTCCTGAATGACGTAACACGTTTCAGATTTGGTGATTTCCACTTAGTTGATATCAAATTTGTCAATTTTGATACTGTAGATCCACCAATGCATTCGTATCATTTTGTTGTTCATAAATTGTTTTGGATAGATCAGTAGATGAGAAAGGTTATAGATTAAGTCATTGTAATGTCATCACTAAGATTTCTCGAGATGAAGATATGGTAGGTATCCTAGTAATAAGTACAACTTTAGGATTGATATGGAATCAAATTGTCAACTTCATAAAACTATACAGCGCCAAACTTTTTGTTGATAAGGATCCGGTTGTGTATCTTCATTTTCGTTGATAAGGGTGATAAGGATCCGGTTGTATATCTTCATTTTCATTCCTTTTCCCTTCCATAATTTAAAAAAAGAAAAAGAATATATAAACAAAGATTACAGTTTTTCTATAAATATAAATTGCTAAAAAAAAAGAAAAAAAATCCCTCCTGAACAATCTGATCAACTCTCTTCTAATCATTTAATTAACTCGAAATCTTCATATTTGTTGATTATGGTTTGATCTCTCCACTATTGATTCATTGATTTACGCAAATGTTATCATTATGATAACGATCAGTACAATTTGATAGTATCATATCTGCCAACTATAACTTAATTTGCATAAAAATGTTGAAAATTCTGATATTTGCATTAAAAAATTAGATAAATAGATGAATCAGTTGCATAATTTTTCATTGTTTATCTTTAAAATTAAGAGGGAAAAAGAGAGAGAGAGTGAAAAAAAAAGAAACATTATTGTGTTATCACATATATGTGTTTTGGCAGGTTATGGGAGCATTCAGTAAATTTAATTAGAAATTGTTGAAAATATGAATTTATCATACTTACTATCATTTTTCATTAAATCGTTTCATTGTTACAAATGAAATTATTGCTATTGGAAAGAATTTATTAGTGATTTTATTTGAAAGAATTAATTATTGCTAATAATAATAGTATTTGCATTCTAAAATATATTTTGATAATATAAGGCTATCCATTCCTATACCTTTACATATCCTAATCTTTTCCAATATTTGAAAGGAATGTCAATACAATGCATTCCATCATCCTCTTTGTTTAGGCCATTTTTTTTTTGGTTTCAAAAATTTAGCATTGAAATTTGAGTGATAGAAATCCTTTTTGTTTAGGTCATTTTTTTTTTGGTTTCAAAAATGTCAAAAGGTTTTCAAAAATCTTTAGCATTGAAATTTGAGTGATAGAAATCCTTTTTGTTTAAGCCATTTTTTTTTTGGTTTCAAAAGTGTCAAAAGGTTTTAAAAATTTAATATTAAAATTTGAGTGATAGGAATGTTCTTTCTATCAAAAAATGCCATTATTTTATGGTATAATTTGTAGGAAAAAACTGAAAGTCGGAGAAAACGTCGTGAAAAAAGGAAAAAACATCAAAAAATTAGGAAAAAGCGTTACAAAATGAGAGAAAGATATCATGAGGATAAAAAAGAACATAAAAAAAGTGTAAAGGAAAAAGTGTAAGTTATTTAAAAATTAAATTTATATATATTAATTTCATATTCCATAACTCATTTTTACTTGTTCTTTTTTTGTTTACTATTTACAATTCATTCATATTTATCAAAAAATTTTTTTTCAACCTTTAAAAATTCAACGTAGTAGTTAAATTTAGCAAAAAAGAACCTATAAATGAATTAGTGAATGAGAAAAAAGCGAAACAATTACATCGACATAAACAAATGGATGATCCACATATAGAAGCTAATAAATTAAAGCGACACAAGAAGAAAAATGTTGACAGTATGATAATATTTATCATTCTAAAATTAAACATTTTATTATATGCACTATTTCATTAACACTTATTTGTAATATTGATCAGAATTGATAATTATATACTGTAAAATTTAAATGATATGATTTTAGAATCACAATCACCACATGCGCGTCATCATCGAAAAGTTACACGTGATTATGTTGAATCACCTGACAGTACCTTACGTGAAGTAAGCGATATTAGATAATGAAATTTGTATCATAATAATACTTTAATCGAATACATTCTATTTATATTTACTTTACAAAATCAAACAACTAATAATTTGCTAAGTGATACGGTAGATAGATTCTTCTCTCCTTCCTAATTCTATTCCCGATTCTTTTTCCATTTCCAACTTTTACTTTTCCTAATCAAATTCATTTTCTCTTACTTCTTTAAAATTGTATAATTTATGCAAAAAAAATTTATGTTTTTTTATCAAAATTTTATGAAACGATAAATTCAATAAGCAGCTTAAAATCCAAAAAAAACATTAAGAATTACACCATCAACTTATGTAAACAATTTCAGATAATTGATGATATGCCAAATATAGAATTAAAGCATGCTTTAAGCAATGAAGCAATCTATACCGAGTATCAACTTAT